TACCAGAGTGTGGATATCCATTCCTCCGCTGATGGGGTTTGGGTTGTTTCCATCGTTGTGCTATTATAGAAATTGCTACATCAAACATGGGTGTACCCGTGTCTGTTCCTGTTGTGTTTTTTATTTCTTTCAGGTATATGCCCAGTAGAGAGACTATAGAAGCATATGGTATTTCTGTTCACATTTGTGTGAGGAGGCGCTATGTGGACTTCCGCAGTAACGGCATAATTCTGCCATCCCACCAGCAGTGGATGAGGGTTCCAATCTCACCACAGCCTCTCCAGCATTTGTTATTTTCTGTTTTTAATTTTGTAGAGTGTTGGTGTAAGGTTGCACCTCTTCATTTTTTGTTTGTTTTTTAATTAAGCAGTCATTTTATTGGGGGCTCTTACAGTTCTTATAAAAATTCATACATCAATTGTATCAAGCATATTTGTACATACATTTGTAATACCATCATTATTCTTTAAACATTTACTTTTTTAAATTTACTATTTGAACCCTTGGTATCAACTCCTCTTTTTTCCCTTCTCACCCCCCTCCCACTCTTGTGACTCCTTGATAAATTATTATTATTTTCATACCTTACACCGACCGCTGTCCTCCTCCCCCCCAGGTTTCTATAGCTAATGGTCACAATCATATCTTCATGGGATGTGTTCCGGGATGCCATCTTTAGTAAACTGTCTGTTCGTGTCATGTCTCCTTTTTTCTTATTAGAGAGTTGTAGTTTTCTATGGAGCCCTGGTTGTCTAGGGAGCTATATGTTGGGCTGCCATCAGCAAGGTCAGAGGTCTGGCACCACCAGCTGCTCCCTTGGAAAAAGATGAAGCTTCTACTACCCTCAAAGATTTACTGAGACAAGAGCTATCATTTCTGAAGTCAGATGGTGTGGTAATTACATAATCTGGTGTCAATTTGAGGATTAAGAGTGTAGGGGTGGACTCAAAAGTAGCCCAATTCAAAAAATCAGAAAGCAACAAGTGTTGGAGGGGCTGTGGGGAGACAGGACTCTCATCCACTGCTGGTGGACCTGTAAGTATGTACTG